AAAACCAGTCTTCCCCTTGCTCTTTTTCTAAGAAACCAATTAAAGATGCATTTGGTGTAACGGAAAAAAATGTGGTTGACTTGAAGATTATGAGAGGTCTTCATGCAAATGCTATTTTGTTTCTCATGTTACAAAATCCTCAAATTTGGAGATGGTAAGTGCAATTAACAAAGCATATATGAAGGTTGATGAACAAAGTTAGAGCTGTTGAAAAATTTGGTATGTTGTATTTTTAAAAAACTATGTAATTACTCCCTTCGTCCCAAAATTATTGTCCACGTTTGACTTTTTAAGTCTCTTTTGTTCAACTTTGACCTTAAATAATTTACTTTTTGTTATATAATTTTTTATGCAAGATATATGAATAAATTGTTTTTTAAAAGTATTTTCATTGTTATAAGTTTCATCATATAACACAAATAAAATTATTTATGGTCAAAGTTGACATGGAAAGACTTCAAAAGTCAAACGCGAACAATAATTTTGGGACATATGGAGTATTAAAAACCAACTCCCTCTTCTAAAAACCAATTGAAGATGTATTTTGAGTAATGGAGAAAAACTTTGTTAACTATTATTCGAGGTCTTTGCGCAAATTGTATTATGTTTAACATGTTTCACAATTCTCAACTTCTAAAGATGGTAAGTGCAATTAACAAAGCACCTGCTGGTTATAAACCTCCCTTAAGCAAGAAAGCAATAACAGTTTTGCTTGATTAATGCCACAGAGACAGAAAAAAATAAACTCCTATTAAAGATACATAGTATTTGCAAGGAGTTCCAATTGTTTACGATGGACGGTCAAACGTCAAACACAAATCACTTATTAATGTCATTGCCATGAATAGTCGTGGATGAATGTTTATGTACACGGATGATTTTTATGGTATAGAAAAACATGAATTGTAAGAGCAAACTGTTTGCTCGAAGCTATTGAAACAATATGATGGATCAATGTCCTTCTAAGTCGAGACAGGCAATGCAACAAGTTGTAAGGCTACTAGCAAGGAAATTGAGAAAGTACACAAACACATTAGTTGGTATCCTTGTTGCATTCAACGTTGAACCTTCATTTTCAAAGATTTTGCAAATGAGTTCTACCGGTTGACAAATACATATACAAGAGGAAAATGATTGTTAAATACTTCTTAATAATAAGCACGTTTGACGATTAGAGTTATTAAAAGTGGCAAAGACAAGATTTACATCTCAATACATTTTGTTGCAAAGGTTGATGTATTGTAGAGAGGCTCTTTTTATAGGGATGTCAAAGAGTCTCGTGGGACCCCGTTCCTGTGCAGGCCCCGTCCCGTTTGAAGGAATTTATTAAAAAAAATCAGGGGTGTGGACAAGATTTACATCTCAATACATGTTGTTGCAAAGGTTGATGTATTGTAGAGATCCTCTTTTTATAGGGATGTCAAAAAGTCTCGTGGGACACCGTTCCTGTGCGGGCCCCGTCCCATTTGAAGGTATTTATTAAAAAAAATCAGGGACGTGGACGGGGGTGGGGGCTAGAATAACCCCCGTTTTAATTTCGGAGGTAGGGGCAGGGTGGACAGTCCCATCCCGAAACCCCATGGGGCCCCGTTAATAAATTATACATGTATTTACATTTATTAATTATATAAATATAATAAACAATAACAGGATTTTGAGCTTCCAAATTCAACAAAAAACATGTTTTTAAGTTGTTAGTATAATGTTTTTTAAGATGCCATAATTTTTTTTAACATGTAAAACTTTGCTATAAATAAATATTTGTTATGTAAAAAATAGCTTCTTTTAGCCCAAAAAAAGACAGCCCAAAATAAATCGGGGGCGAGGGTAATAAAGGGGATTCGGGGACGGTGGCGGGGGTAGGAAGGTTGGATATTTCGGGGGCACGGGCAAGGAAACGGGAAAATTTTGGAGGCGGGGGCGGAGGATGCACTCCCCGTCCCGTTTGTCCCCGTTGACATCTCTATTGTTTTACAACCATTACCTTAACTTTTGGAGGGATTTGATCAAACAAGGAGATGAAAAAACTAGGATAATTGTTGACACCATTAGAAATGAGAAAATTTTAAAGCATTTTAGCTATTACAAAATGAATTTTCTTGTGATTAAATTTTGTGACGTGAGATTAAAAATGGTATAAATATATGAAAAAATAAACATGTTGAACATGTTAAGAGAAATTAGGGATGTCATGTCAAATAACATATACACTTTTTAATTACTATCCTAAGTTTGAGAAAATCTTACTAGCTAGGTGGGAGAAGATAATTATTCCTTTAAACTGTTTGGGATTTACTTTATCTTCGCGCGTCTATGATACACATTATCTTGAGATGTTAGCACCCGATGGAATTGTTAGAAGATCTCCTAATTTAGACAAAAAATTGGAACTTTGTGTTATGGAAGCTTTTAAATGAAGAATTGAAAGTCAAGAAGAAGAGTGGGTGTTGCGAGAGCAATTTGTAACATTCCACTAAATAGATGCAATGACCCTAGACACGATCGATTGGTGGTCAAATTCAAAACTCTTGAATTTGTTGAAGTTAAAAAAAGTTCTCACAAGCCATTTAGCAGCTCTTCGGCAGAAAGAAACTGGAGCACCTACTATATCGATACTGTGAATAGAAATCGTTTGAATTGTGAAAGGGCGTGTAGGTCAGTGTATATCCATTCAAATATTCGACTACCATCATGCTTTTCTAAAAACTATAAAGAGGGCACCACACAAAAGATTTGATGTGAATCCTGAAATACATATTTGGAACGGAAAGTACAAGATTTGAAGACATGAAGACATGCAATAGGAGAATTTAGAGGAAGGTGATGCAGATAGGAACGAAAAAGTCTGTATTGATTGATTTCAACTTTTTCGTATTGTTTTTTTACTTTTCTAGTTTTTTGTTATGAAACAATGTTTTCCACTTTATGAACTAAAGCTAACTTAATTATATTGTTTTTTCTTTACTTTTTCGTGAATTACATTATATTTGTTTTATGTTTTGGATATGGTACATACTTCGTACCATGTATAGATTACATGGTATAGCTTTCCATGTACCAAATGTAACTTATCCTTGTACTAGAATTTTGAGATCCTTGTTCCCGTTTTCGTTCCTTGTGACATTGCTCTCTACTCTTGGGTAGAGGGAAAGACTGTCTACACCCTGCATCTTCTGACATCCCCCTTACCCCATTTTGTTATGGAAAAGGATATTTTATATAACCAAATTGACAAACTCGATTACTTATAACTTAATTCTTAAAAAAACAAACGGCAGGTGTTTGATATTCGAGTAGGGGATCTTCAAACAAAAGAAAACGACTCACAAAACTTTGTCTGCTTTCTTAGAGCGGCTCTAGCCCTATTTATAGACTCTCCTAAACTGATAAAAGGAAGCTATACTCGTAGAAGGAAACCCTAATTGCCTAAGGAAACTAGAATCAACTAGATATATACTAAATAATAAAGATACTGGAATGATTACTAAATTGCCCATGCCTTCTTTTTATGTAGACCCGATCCCACTTATCTACTCGGTTCATATCAATATTATAGTTTTATTATTGATACTACTACGTACTTTAGAATGTTGTAAGCATTTAGATACACTTTGGGAGACGTTTGAACCATTTGGCTTGTTGGATGTGAAAAATAATTGAAATTGTCCCATCTTTTAGGCAAATTGGTTGAAGGTGCCACTTTTAGATTCTAGGATGCTCGGTGTGAAAAAAAAATCATCTTTCTTGAATTTTATATATAATTAAGGTGTTAAATATGATTACAAAAACTATTCCAATACAACATTCATAATATGTTATAATAAATCAATTTAGGATCTTGTAAGCATTTCGATACACTTTGGGTGACTTTTGAACCATTTCACTTGTTGGAGGTAGTTATAATGAGAGGTAATATATAATTGAAATTGACCCACGTTTTAGGTAAATGGATTAAAATTGGCACCCTTAAGTTCTCGGGTATGTAATGGAAATTCTTTGTTGTCCGTCTTTCTTTAATCTTATAAATAGTTGATGTCTTGTATATGATTACAAAAACTATGGTAGTATAAGTATAATGTATTAAATAAAAAATGTGTAAACCCTACAACTAATGTATACATTGATTGCTTATTTTTTGTTGTTGTTGATTATTATCATGTTGTAGATGGATGATATTTTAGATATTATCATTGACATTTTGATGTTTAAGAAGCGCATATATGATATTTTGATATTTATGAAAAACATATATGATATTTTGATGTTTAAAAAGGACATATACGATATTTTGAAATTTTATGAAGAGTAAATATGATATTTTAATGTTTAATAAGGGTATGGTTCATAGTTATGGATGCTCTAATACGAAAACTTTTGAACACCTCTACTTTTTTTCTTTTTGGAACGAAGCAAATATTACTAAAAACCAGCGAGATGCAAATAAACAAATTCACTTGAATCTCATTTATAAGAAACACATTTATTTCGTTTAGTTGGGCATAATAGATATTAATGTATAGTCATTGACTCATTTTGAACTACCTTATGTTTATTTAAATATAGTTTTTGTGAAAGAGTTCTTCTACATGACGGAGTTGTTTCGTCACCTTAGCGGTGTCTCTTTGAAATTTACAACTTCTTCAGGTAAATTTGTTCACATTTTCTTACATCTATCGGTGAGATTATGATTTTTCCTTAACTAGATGAATAGTTTTTCTTTCAATCATCTTAGATTTTCTATAAAGCTTTCTATGGAATGTATATGGTAATCCAATAAATAGTTAATTTCTAGTTTTTATTGTTTCTTTTACATAGATTGATACACAACTTTGTTTAGTCAAAAATTTTGTATATTTTAATTTTTTCGAAGAATATGTAACAAGATTTGTTTTTAAAAAGGAAATTGGGGAGAAATGTCACTTACCTTAAGTTTTCCTCTTTCACAATTTTTTATTTGTTTTGAATATGATCTTGGTCTTATTAGCAATTTGAAAAATAAGATGGCGCATATTACGGATTTACCCTTGCATATTTTGGATGTGATATTGGTCGCAATAGCAATAAGTGATGGTGCAAGAGACTTGGCAAGAGTGGGAGCAGTGTAAGTTTTCAGTGTTATTTCTTTTAGGGTCTGTATGGTTGGATGAAATGGAATGACTCATTACACTTTATAATCATGTTTGGTTGGCATCTTGAAGTGAAATAATTTTTCATATGAATTTTTTGTATTATGTGTAAATATGGTGTATAGCTTAACTCTACTCTTTATTATTTGATTATAATAAACTATTTTTTTTAATTACAAAACTAATCAACACAATAAAAGCTTATTAAAACCCAAATAAGACTATAAGTAAAAAAAATATTTTCCATTTATTTGTAGATTATAAAACTGAAACTTAATGAATTTTTTAAAAAAAACATGCGCCAGTAAAAATGATATTAATAAAAAGGGTTGATAATACAATTTTTTTCGTTCCATTGCTAAGGAATGAAAATTAATGAAATGGAAGGAATCACCTTCCTTCAAGAATGGTCCATTCTATTCCATTAGGCAAAAGACCTAGTTTTTTTTTGTTCCAATGGAAAGAATATTCCATTCCGCTCCTTCCTGATTCCATCACATATTCATTCCATTTCGTTTCTGATTCCATCATACCAAACACTACCTTATTGGTCTTGATAATGCTAATCGGATTAATTTAATCAAAATGATTTCATTGCAAACTTTTTGCAGATGTAATATGCTTCTGACCGAGGCTAGAGAACCAGTCGTTTTAAAGGTGGTCAATTTCCAGCGTTTGACTTTTACTGCCATTGATTATATGATGCACCATCATGAAAAGGATCTCCTTTGTATGTCTGCCCGAGCTGGAAATCGGGCTGCCCGGTCCATTGTGGGAAAGGTAACCATTTTGCACAACTTCACAAATTGTTTTCTTTCAGCATTTATAGGCTGCTCAATATGGGCAAATGGGTGCGTTTGGGTCGAAGGGGTAAATTTTCAAAGCAGTTTGTAAAAGGGCCCCACAAAACTATCTCTTTTTAATTTTATTTTTAGAACTTCATAGCTAAGTAACAACTCTAATTGATATGATTACGAAAAATGTTAAATGCTAGAAATAACAATGCATCATAAATTTATTTGTGTATTATAGCGTTGTATTTTCATTCCTAGTTGTTACACAAATTTACTTCCAATTTTTTTTAGAATAAACTACATTTTAGTCCCCAAAAGTTCTCTCTTTCACTTTTGGATCCAATAAGCTCTCTTGCAATATTGGTTCCAAAAAGCTAAGAGAATCTCAAATAAGGACCAAAATTGCAAGAGAGCTTATTGGGACCAAATTTGCAAAAATCAGTTGTACTCGCGGACAAAAAAATGTATTTTTTATTATCATTAAGGCATTGTAATTTGAAAATTTAACCCTTACAAAAACTAATATAACACATAGTTGGTGTGTGTGTGTGGCAGGCTCTCCTAGTTAACGACCCGTGGTTTTGGGGCATGATTTTATTGGACTATCAACGTGCATGTTGCGGGTGCATCAAAGCATTTGAAGCACTAGATCATCAAAGCCTTGTGAGAACATTTATTCTCCATGCCACATCAAAAGACATTGCTACAATGTGTCACCAATTACACAACTGTGTGGTGTCGCATGTTGGATACAATGTGGCACGTGAAAATGGACTTGTTTCTGCCATCTTTAATATGTGT